AATTATCTATTAGCTGTCATTTTCCATGGTGGATAACAAAACACTAACTCCTCATGGGATGTGACAGCTAGGTATCTCAATTTTCAAAACAGTGGTATGTAGTCATCTGCCATTTTTATGTGATAAAAGTGTGATTAAAAAATTCTTCAAAATATTACAACTTTTTTCGAAGAACCTTTTCCGTAATAAATGTCTCTGTGCAGTTTGGGAAAAGATTTACAAAATCAGTCTTTCCCCTGCATGATATTGGGTGACAGGCCGCCATTTGTCACCGTAAAGCAGATACATTTTTCAATTTCTTGTTATTCAACTTATTCTGAATATAAATTAAAAATACTCTTTGAAAAAATAAAGAATTTTTTCTACTTTTTTTGATTATTTATTCATAATTTTTCAAAATTTCTGCATGATGCAGGACTTAATTGACAATTTCAGATGACGAAAGATGAAATAAAACATCGAGATAACGTTCGAAAGATAGCACACCCGGGCCTTAATCCATTGAAAATCCATTGAAAGTTTGAAGGAGACTATCAATCACAAAAAATTGAAACTCAACTTTTTCGCATTTTTTGAGTGTAATCAGTACTTTAGTACTGATCACCATGGTAGACACCATCACCTTCAACTTTCACATATCCCTATTACGCACTCTACAATCTGAATTCCACGTTGCATGAATGAAACTCGTAAATGTTCAATTTATTGTGTGCAATTCAACTTGAGCATGGGGAATTCAAGAAATAGATTTAGTTATGGATTCTATATTTTTTTGAATTCCTGATACTTACATTTACGAATCTATGAAGTAAACACTGAAAAATTTCATTGCATTTACAGGAAATTGCAGTTGTTAAAAAGTGCAGGCACTCTATTGTCTGATCAATGGGTGATTTTGTCAATAAAATGCTAATGCGTCAGTGTGAAAGCATGCCAAAAGTTGCAAGACAAATTGTAAATGGCGAAAAAAATGTCTTCAAACCGAATTGGCTGTCTATTCCGCCAGATATCTTTGAATGGAAAAAATGTAAGAATAATTTTTGTGTAGAGAATTTCGTGAGCTATTAAAAAGATCTGGATATAAATAAATGTTCAAATAAAAGAGACGATTTTAAAATGGATTTGGAGTTTATTTCTTAAATCTCTGCCAATTTGTCAGCTTTTTCGAAAAATGTCAGCGAATCTGGCCTATAAGGTGAAACATCCAGTGCTCGAACGAATAAGAGTTCTCTAATAACAGTGATCGAACGTAGAAGATTCAATAATAACTTAAGGATGTTCGACACCCTTTTAGTCAAAATTGACGTTGTTTTGATTTTTCTGGCAAATTATCGATGGGAGTGACGTGAAAAAATATAACGATTTTGTGGTTTGTCATCTTTAATGGCTCACGAAGTTGCGTAGTGGTGCGATAATTTTCATGCGTTTTTTCTACAGTTTTGTGATTCTTTTTAAAAGTTTAGAGAAAACGCAGGAAAATGTTCGCACCACCTTAAAATTTCGTCAGTCATTAAATAATGACAAAACGCAAAAACGTTATATTTTTTCACGTCAATTCCATCATAAGTTTGCCAGAAAAATTAAAAAAACGTGAATTTTGGCAGAAAGGGTGTAGAACATCCTTAAGTATAAAAACGTTCTGGAAGGTCTCATTGAATTTATGAACTTTAGTAGTTTTTAAAGAGGATAACCGTGTCATTTCAGTGGATTGAGCACTGGACCTGTTCGAATACTGATCGATTCATCCTAGACCACAAAATTCTGTACAAAAAAAGTCCTCCGACATTTTCTGCCAAACCACCTAATTTCAAAGATATTTAAGAAATAATGTATGATAAACTTTGTCAATTTGTAATTTTTACCCCTTCACATCAGAATTACTCAGACAATATGCATTTTTTAATGCGCGATTATTGATTTAATTGTTTAAATCATTGAATATTAAAATTGTCTCATGTAAATTTTTTTCTCTTTTTCAACAGTCATAAAATAAACGCCAGAAAAAAGTTAATGGTGGTCATTTGCTATTTCCCGGAAGTTCGTCCCCCTCCAGAGATTCCGATTTTTTTCATAACTTTTGCACGAGAGTCCGTGCACCACTCGGTACTTGGAACATCTAGCCTATTGTTGGCAGCTGTTGCGTTGCCTTCCGCGCAATCTAACTCCTCTCCGGTTCGTTAGGAGTTTTTGATACTTAGGCCCTCGACTCCTACGTAATTCAATCCATCATTTTATTAAAAGTGGAAGGAGTCATGAAAGAAATTTAAAGATTGTAGAATTCTAGAGCATTAGTGAAATAACGTCCGGCAGAGTTGAAATGAAGTGTATTAAACCATCTTATATTAATGATATGTTTAAAATTATCTTGAAAAAACCTCGTGGAATTCAGTGATTTTATTTGTGAGAAATATCAACTTCAGTTGGAAATCAGTTCTTGCAGAATATCTTGAAGCAATCCAAGGCTGTCTCAAATTTCATACCGATCACACTATAGACTGAAATATTTTCAATCATCAGATTCTTCAATAGGGAACTTGCATGAATTTTTTTCAACTTTCTAATCTCAAGTTTGGGGCAGAAAAAATTCATTTTTCATTCACAAACGTTCAAAACATTGCTCACTAATTGATGATTAATTGTTAAATGTCGAAGATTTCAAATGCTTTGAAATCGCTAATGACATGGTGCTTTCCTCTCTATCTGTGAGTGAGAATATAACCAGGGATCTGGAACGCATTTCTGTTTCGGTTTCGTTCCTCACGTAAGAAACGAAACTAAATTATAATGTTACTGCCAGGAATGAAATTCAGGAACGAAAGTTGAGTAACGTTACCGCTAGGAACGAAATTCAGGAACGAAAAGTGAATAACATTACCGCCAGGAACGAAATCCTGGAACGAAAGTCTGGTAACGTTACTGAAACACAAGCGCGTGAAAAAGGGAAACAAAATCGCTGCTCGGGCAAAAAAAGTGACATGAAAATTTGAAAATTGAGTTCATTTGTAACTGATGGTTTTATTTCGAACGGCAAAATGAATGTTGCCGAGCGGGAATTTTTCCTGAAGAATCGAGTTGATGTTAAAAAAAACGTGGATATTAAATTTCCCATGATTTTGTTACAGATAAAGAGGGTTCATTGGGGTTGGTTTTGGGGTTGATTTATTTAATTGAAATATTCACTATGAAATTTCCTGGGCTATAAACAGGGTGATGTTAATGAAAATTTAAAAAAATACTGGGCATTAATTTTCTCATTTTTTCTACATAATTTTTTATTTTTGACTTTTTCAAGGAATTTCTACAGAAAATATCCCAATAGAATTAACATGCATTTCGTACGAAAAAATGCAAAAGCTGTTTAAAAAAAAATTTTATAATGTTTTTTATTAGACATTTCGACTAAGAAAAAAAAATCAGAAAAGAGCTGAGGAAATTTTCAATGGATTCAGCTAAACACAAATAGAATTGTCTATAGAAATGCTATGAAATTTTTAGTAAATGTGGCAGGTTTCCTATGAAATTCTTTCATTGGTTGCTATAGATGAGAAATTTTTCATCATTTCCCATGACTCTTCTCCATGTATGAAAAAAGAAAAAGGAAATCAAATTTATACTACTTTACTCTTATGCAATACTATGTATCTGAAAATCCCCCCTGCGATGGGGCTATGTATCCCAAATGCAGAAATTAATAATAATAATAATAAGGCGTAGGGAGTGTGGCGAACCCATCGCCCGGCATGTCCGCAATAGCCACGGTGGTGTCGGGTTAACCACCCGGCGGCACCTATACCCGGTTCCGTCATCGAGCCGCGGCAGAGCCCCCCACAATCGCTCCCTCTCGGATGGGGACCGCGGATCAGTTGGGAGGGGTGAACGATCTGGATCCAATGGTAACAACCCGGCTGTCCAAAGGAATAGGTGAACGGAGGACCTCATGCAATGTTGGCACACTGATAGAATGATTCATTTATTCCAAACGAAATTCGTTAACTATTAACGAATGGTAGAGTTGAATATGACCAAATGAATATTCGTTAACAGTTAACGAATGGTTCACTTGAATGGCGAAAGTCAAGTCAAACAACTATTAACGAAAGGGGCAAGAGGGGAAGGGAAAGTGAAAAGAGAATGAATTTACTAGTTACCAAAATATTTCCAAAAATCAAAAAGTTCATTTCACTTCATTACATTGAAAATAGAAAATCTCCATAACGAGGGATTTTCCGCGAAAATATTGTAAGACATTTCTTGGAAATTGCCCTCCCTCAAATCCTTCTCAATTTTCTCGACTTCTCCCATGCCCAATGGCAAACTAAAAATAAATCGTACTTTCCCTCCCACAATTTTTTC